AAGATAGAATGATGAAGAGCGTAAAGTGTTTAGGTTTTATTGATTTGTAAGAGAATTATAGCATTGTTTTATCATAAGCTAAAGTCCTCTCTTCCTTTGTCGGAAGTTCCCAGGTTAGACGGTGTAATTTAGCTAAGTCGTCACCGTGTCACTTCGGGTTGTGTAGCTTGACATAATTGGTTTGTATGAAAACTTTACGGTTTCAGACAGAGACAACACACCCCACACACACACACACACACACACACCACACACGACACACACCCTACACACACACACACACACACGACGGGACACACACACACGCTCGACCACACACACCACACAAACACACACACACACACACGGAACACACAACAAACACAACACACACAGACACAACAACACAGCATGACTCTCAGACTGTTAAAAGTTTGACCTCGGAGTTCTTTAAGCGCACTCCGCAAGAGACGACCATCAGGTTTAGTCCGAACCACTCTAAGAGTCGGTGATAAAAAGTGTTTTTGTGGCAGTCGTTCAATGCGACAATCGGAAGTATCCTCGATGGGGGGGAAATAGGACAGTCCTATTGAGCACTGCTCTTTTGTATATTCAACATAATTTATTTGTCTAATCAATCGAAATTCGAAGGGTCAGTTAAAACACACACAGTACCACTTATGTCAACGACAACACCGACGACAGAGACACATAGTACAAAAAACACCTCAAACTACTTATAAAAAACACTAATTATTCAAAGTAGAGTATTTTATTTATATATGGTAATACTAAGGACATTATTGATATTAAAAAAGTTATTTGTTTTCCATGTCATTCGTGTGTTTTTCTTATAAGTTATTTATTTGTGAGCTCCAAATCCAAATGTTTCCCTCAATGGCCTTTGTGCCCTGGCATGTGGCCTTTGTGCCCTAAAAAAAATGGTGACACCAAAGGCCAAATGGCCTTGCCCCTAAAATGACGAAATTCCAAGCCTGGCACCGGCTGTTTGTAAATTCTAAATTAGCCCAGGCAATGCTATAAATTCAATTCCTACAAAGTTGTCTCAGGACAGCCAGCCAGCTAATCGCTGATCAAGGTCAGGGTCTTCTCGGATTCACTCTGTATTATACATAATTCTTATAGACCCACAATATTACCAGCTGTGACCCTGGTATTTTTTGCAGTTTGTGAGTATGTCTGAACATGCAAAAATTTGCTCCTGGAGACACCAACTGCAGGGACAGCCATTGAGCACTTTGCCAGGTGTTGGTCTGTGGTTCTGTATAGAGAGTGAGATCAAAACTGAATGGCGTTGTAATATCTTGCATAACTTTGGCCATGATAATCGTGTATTGTAAATCTGATATCTTAAGAACCCTACTTTAAACCAACTTCCGTACTATATAAAGTACAAATAAACCCTTATCACCAATCTCCAAGTCGCGATGTTAACCATTACTCCATTCTTGCCTTGGTGAATCCATCCATTGACTATTGTGTCTGATATCAGGTAGACTCTATCAGGAGCTTCATCACAAAGCAAATGTATTTGTAGTACTTGCTTGACCATTTCAATCTGTTTGTTTTAGTTGGTGAGATATGTAACTTTTCTGTATGATGTTTTTTAATGTCTGCAGTGTTTCCCCTAGGATGGGGATAGGATTTCTATGTGTCTGCCAGCACAAGAAAGGCTCTTGAGGCCTAGTACCAGGGCCGGTTCTAGCCAATTTGCTGTCCTAGGCGAGATTTTATATATAAAGAATAAATGAAAAATCTCTACAAAAGACAAATACACTACAAAAACAGAAAGTTATTGACATAGGTAAGAGACGTCCAAATGGCTTCAAATGTATTCAGTATGAACTTGTTTTAATTAGGGGGTGGAGGTTACATCCTCCAGGGGGGTCCGGGGGTCTGCACCACCGGGAAGATTTTTTTGAACATTTGAAAGTAAAATGCTTCAATCTGTTGCACTTTGAGCAGAATTACTAGAGACCTGATCTAGGGGCTACAACTCTAAAACACCCATCTGAAAAAGATCGGTTTATATTTTAATAATCAATAAGTATGTGAACATAACCAATAACCTACCATAGCCAATAACAAATAAATGTAACTTATTTTATTTTTGTTGTTCATTCATATCTTATTTTACCAGTTAACATTTATTTATTTATTTATGCATATTTTTGTATCTCTCCAACTTTAAAATATATTTTTGGTTCACTGTCCTATAGTATACTTTGGAATAGATTTCAAACCTGTTTTTATTTATCCTAATAATTGCCTTGGTGAATCCATCTATTGACTATTATTTCTGATATCAGGTAGACTCTATCAGCAGCTTCATCACAAAGCAAATGTGTTTACATAATTTGTAAACACATATTTGTTTGAGACCCACTGAGATAACTTAGACTAAAATTATCTAAACACTCAGAGTCCTTTACCTCACTGAGCCTCTCAGTCTGACAGGAGAGCATTCCTCCACCCTGGTTGTAGAAACATCTACTTCTTATATCCGTTAGCGCAGCTAGCACCAGATTCTAATAACAACAGCGCCGGTACCGGTGCGCCCTCTTTCTCTCTCCCTCGCTCGCTCTCTCGCCCCCACGCTCGCACTTTGGCTGTGAGCTGCGGGCGCCTGATAAACCAACATCCCCCACTTTCATCACTTACAGTGCCCATCGTTCAGGGCAAATGAAAAGTGTAACCGGGGTGAAAAGGGTGTTACATTTACTTAATTATGAATGTTGTTACATCAAGGCCAAAAATTAGGATAAGCGCCAACGGTCAAAAAAAATGTTTCCCCTCCCAGAGCTACCAGCCCCAGATCTGGCGCCCCTATGCCAAAAATCGGCTCTGCCAGTACATACAGTGGCAATGTCTCAAGATTTAGCAAGAATTCACCTTTATTGAACATACCAGTGGCGAACCGTGTCTATCACAACTGGACCTTCTGTAGACACACACTCACGTACCCAAATGTACGCTCTCATTCAATGCAACGGCCAGGGCATTCTATCAAGTATAATACCTTGGTTGAAGGACTACCCAGAGACCCAGAACAAGATCTGTTTGGTTGCTTTCTTTTCTAACACAAAACCACTGAAATGCGTAGTGCATGGTCCGAGAAGGATAAACAAATCAACGTGACACAATCAAGAACACAGATACAATTCTCATTTATTCATTTTATTACATTTTCTTTCTATAATTAAATTGATTTTTTGTTTGTTTTATCTGAGTGTTCCAGGGTATTCTCTGAATGCCTTAAAGGCCCTGACAGTTCGCCACTGGAACATACAGTAACACAAATACTACAAATCCACTGTGAGGATCCACAGTTTTGCCTCCCTCTTTGTTCCTTCTGTGTTTGTTGTTGTCTGTCTCCCTGGCTGGGCGTGGCTGACCTACTTCTGGATTCCCGCCAACTCACCTCCTCAGCTGCTGCTCGTCACCCTGATTACTACTGCTCACCTACACCTGCATTTATACCCGGTTCCATCATCCAGTATTCACCAGTTCGTCGTCTAAACCACGTTGGTAATACCTCCTGGAATATTCAGCTATTAGCAAAACCAAACCCTCTGTGTTCCTGTTTATCCTTAAATCCTGTTCCACTCTTTGTTTAGTATCCATCTGCCTACTCCTCTGCCTGCCACGTCCAGCCACCAACTCTACTCCTGTGTTCCTCCGTGCTTCCACACACACCTGCCCCAGCCTGCTTGCTCTCGTCAGCTCTGGATCCCCGGCTTCGGACCTCCGCTCCTCCTCTGGAGACACTCCCTGGTCCTGGATTTTGTGGATTATCCAATTCCTCTGTTGTCAGTATAAAACGGTTTTAGACAATAAACCTTTTGCTTCATAAACTCTGTCTCCTCTCTATAGTGTTCAGTATTGTGGGTTCACTCCTGTCAGCTCTCGGAGAGCGTAACATCCACATAACAAACAATCATGATATTGTGGGAAACACTGCTGTGTTTGGGCTAGAGTGGATAATGATGGTAACAACAAAGTGAGGGTTTCTCGAAACGGCTGAGTCATGATACAAAAATTGCTACACACCAAACTGCTGCAAGGTTGTTCTTCAAAGTTTCAAAAAATATCCAAAAGAATGAATGCAGATGATTCTTTGGTGCTTTTTTGCTACTCTATAGAGAGAAGGCCTATTAAAATGTTCCCACCATTGATTTTCGATTTTCTTTCATTATAATCCAATACTAGTTTGCTTGCCTCTAAAATTAACTTGTCATTTGTTTTAAACTCATCACATCGGATCAGGAGCTCAGTCCATAGGGACTTGGCTTGAGAACTGGATGGTCTTTGGTTTGAGTACCACAGACCAAAATAACTGACCCCTCCAACTGCCCCTAGTCACAGAAGTATGTCGGCCCCTTAGCTCTTACACCTCTCCTTAAAATGCATGCGTTTGCGCATATTTGTTCTTTTTCCTGTACTTCTTCACCACCACTTGCTACCTGTATCTTCTTGAATGGATTTACTACTGTGTATCTCAATGTCTAACTTTTTTTCTTACTTAATCAATGGCATGGTCACTCTTTGTGTGTTTTTTGTGTCTGCTTTGCAGTTCTATGGCTACTAAAATCCAAAAGCAAACAGAGGAATATGAAAGGATGAAATGGGATTCACAGTGCAGGATCCAAGACTTGGCAGGAGAGCTGACCTTACAGAGACAGGTGAGCACTCTCTCTCTCAATTCAATTCAAAGGGGCTTTATTGGCATGAAAGTTAAACAACGAAACAATGTTGCCAAAGCATCAAAATACAAAATAGTTAACAACATTAACATACATTTCAAATGTTTACATATTATTGATATCTCTCTCTCTCTCTCTCTCTCTCTTTTTTCTCTCTCTCTCTCTCTCTCTCTCACTTACATAAAGACACACACACATTTCCTTATTCTCAAGGTCATAATGATAATGTCTATGACTTCAGCTAGCTTCCTCCATAAATAGAAAATATATCAATATGACACAATGGATACCACATTAGGGCCTTACCAAGCTATGCCACAAAGCAATTCTTATCAATAATATACTCTTCGTCTTTTGTTTCAAAACCTCGCAATGGACTTAAAATAACTGGGGGAGCAGCCAGACATTGAGACCTTTTGGATGGACCCACACAAAAGAGCTCTCAATATCGGACCCTGACTGGTGCCTGTTACCACTGGGCTGGCAGGCTTTGTGCAAAAAATATATGTTGTAGTGCAATTTGGTTTTATAAAAATATTTATTTTTCATTTATTGGACATTTTAGTATAATTTCTTGTGTTTATATAAATATGTATGGTTGCCCATTTTCGCCACTTAAAAAAATAATTCAAAATAATGAGATAAAAAGTCATAATTATGGCAAAAAGTCGAAATAATGAGATAGGAAAGTCGAAATAATGAGATAAAAAGTCATTATGAGATAGGAAAGTCGAAATAATGATGTAAAAAGTCATTACTACAAACTAGCAGCTCTTTGGCTCGAGTTCTCCTATTTATCTTGACACGGAAATGGATTGTGAGTACATTGAGGACTACTTTAAACGTGGATTTACAACAGATGAAATACTTAATTTGCTTGCTGATTCACATGGAGTTGTACTAAACAAACGCACCCTTGAAAGGATTTTAAGCAAGAAGCAGCTCTGGCGTCGAAAGAATAAAACCAATGTGGCTGAGGTGGCAACCTTCATTGAACAGCAACTGGAAACATCCGGTCAGTGTCATGGTTACAGATGGATGCACCAAACATGTTGGTTACATGGAATTGTGGCTGACAAAGAAACAGTGTGAATACTGCTACAGTTATTGGATGGTGAAGGTGTTGATCTGAGGTCAAGAAACAGACTGCGAAGGCGCATCTACCACAGCTGTGGTCCAAACTATGTATGGCACATTGATGGTTACGACAAGCTTAAGCCATTTGGAATTGCAATCAGTGGATGCATTGACAGGTTTTCCAGAAATCATGTGTACTTCTTATCTCATAATTTCGACTTTTTTTTATCTCATTATGACTTTTCATGGGGATTTTTTTTTTTTAAGTGGCGGAAATGGGCTTCCATAAATATGGTTTTTTCATTTCTTTTTTTATTGTGTATTCTTACTTTTTTTTTGTCATTTTATTTTACAGGATTAGTAAGGTTATAATTACATTACATTGAAGATTTCAACATGACACCAAAAAATGCATTAGTCCCAAAAAAAGGATATATGAAAAAAGATAAATACATTACAAACAACAGAGTTAATGAAAAATGGTTTTCAATAAGTTATATTGCATCCCCACTCATGCCTTAAAAACAAACAAACAAACAAACAGTAGTGTATTTTTTTTTAAAATCTCTAATTCCTTACAACCTAAAACTGTCACAAAACCCAATTTCCTCTGAAAAAAATGTGTTCTGTATTCTTAGTCTATCTGTCATCACAAATGTAATATTACACATAAACAAAACATCTGTAATGTCTGTACTCTGTTCACAGGAGACGACAGCAGCTTCTGAAGCTGAGCTCAGACAGCGGGAACATGAGTTCAAATTGAAAATGGATGAGATGCGCGCTGTGGTGCTGTCTTGTGATCTCAAGGTGAGGGGAAAGTAAGAATATATGTGTTTTAATTAACTTATGAGTCCATTTATGTTTTCTATCATGGTTTTTGTATAAGATGGACAGAAAATCTAGACAAATGCACGGAACATATACTGTATGCAAAGTTCTTAAGTTCAATATTCATAACTAATATTCATACTATAGGTCTATTGTAAAGTAGTACTCTAAATCTAAATAATCCCACACAATTATGCGAGGAGATTAGATGTAGGATTTCCTGATCTCTAATCTTCCCGTGGCCTTCACACTAATGGTCCTCTGTATTTGTTGTTGCGTGCGTGTCTGTGTGTGTGTCCTTGTCCAGGTGAAGCTGCTGTCCAAAGAGACAGAAGTTCAGTGCCAGGCTCACGCTGAGTCCAAAGAGGCTCTGCAAGCCTCCCAGGTGTTCTGTGAGCAGCTCCGAAGCCAGCTGCTACACAGAGACCATGAGATCAGAGACCTCACTGCTGCTAAGGATTGCAGGTTTGCTCCCGTCCTGCTTTTGTGTGTGTTTACGTGTGTTTACGTGTTTAAGATTTCCAACTATCTTCTGTCTCAGGATAAAGGAGCTTGAGGACAAGCTGAAAAGGATGGAGACCAAATTGAGGAAAGAAGAGAGTAACCACATTAAGAAGTAAGTAAATGGATTATAATGAATAACACAGACTCCTCTCAGTGTAGCAGTCAGAGCTAGCCGTTTACGCAGATCCTATTCACCTTATTTTGGTTTACACATTCCATTCCCCTTAATAGCTGGAAGGATGTCAAATAAAAAAGGAATAAGGTCACATAAGGTTACATTTCTAAATATTTGTTTATTTGGATAAACTTATTGCATAGTGGGAATCAAATGTATTATTTTCTTATCCGAACAAATATTTAAAAATGAAAGCTGTGTTTTTAAATCCTGAGACAGTTTCTTCCACTCTAACTGCACTGAAGTTAGAACACAAAAGTATGCAATGCGGAAGCTCCCTAGTTTTAAACAAGGATGGGACCTGTGGAGACAGAGAAAGGCAGATGGAAAGAGAAAAAAGAAAACACACCTCTGTAAGAAGCCTATGAACAGTTACATTTACAACGTATTAAAGTGTTAAGTTATTCTTCAGGGAAATACCTGTAGCCATTAGCCACCAAAATAAAATAGATTGTATGGCTATGTCTAGCTCCTTGTAATGACTTCTCCTCAAGGAATTGTGTGAATTTGAAAAGACCGCAGCACATGTGACCCGCAGGGTGGCTGTTCACTCATTCAGCTACATTGGTGTTCACTTGTGAATAAATGACCTTATTGTTACTCTAAATCGTCCACATTTTTTCCAATATCAACCTCTGTTGTTGTGTTTGGCAAGATGTGAGGATGTGATCTGGGCTCTGAAGGAGTGCGCTCTGCAGCTGGAGGCTCAGTATCAGGCCCACACAGAGAAGCTGCAGGAGATGGAGAAACGCGTTGTTAAACTACATGAGAATGTGGAGGTTCTGGCTGCACGGGTACGCTGCAAACTGAAGGACCAACAGGGTGCCATGGATCTGAAAGATGAGACCATCCAGAGGTGAGACAGACGGAGGAAAATGATCATATTGACTATTAGCTGCGTTGATGTAACCAGTTGACCAGAGATCCTGTATATCTCTGTGTTTCAAGGCTTCACACAGAGGTTGATGGAACCAGGACTGGCTGGGACAGGCACATTGGTCAATTCTCTAGTGAGATGGTTGTCAAGGATACAGAGATAATTTCCCTGCAGGAGAGAGCAACCAAATGTAGGACTGAGCTGGAAAGGAGCAGGGAGGATATTGAAAGGTGAGAAGACTGCAGTAAAATGGAGGTAGATAGTTATAAATGAATAAGAAAGTGTTGAAAGGACTAGACAGGTAGGAATGAAGGAATGTAGTCCTTTTTAACCTTGTCTGTCCGTGTAATCAGGTACAAGCAGCAGCTGGGTGCTGGTTTGCAGAGAGAGAAGGCGCTAGAACAGATGAAAGTCCTGGTTGAGCTGGAGTGGCAGAAACGCTGTGAGGATATGAAGGCCCATCACTACCTTGCTAATGAACAGCTAATACAAGAGCTGACCCAGGCTAGAGACCAGGTAAGCTTCCTATACATAACACACCCCTTTCCATGTGGATTTACTGGTGCATACATATAGTAGAGTTTACCTGCTATCTTTACTAATGCTGTGTCTCAACTCAGATATTTCCCTTAATACACTGCATGTCACACACTTGCGCAGTTTGTGAATATGATAGTGTGGCAAACGGCGGCTGTGCCCTTACAGGAAGTGACTATTGCCACTATTAGCTAGGTGGCTAGCTAGCAACCTTATTGTATGCTTTAGCAAATCCTTATAGACTTAAGCAGATAAAATAAACTGTCTCTTCTTTCAAACACCAGTATAGTGGTGTGTCCATTAAATACTGGTAAAAAACATGTATAGCACAATCCACTCTTTGGCATTTTGCTCATAAAACTGGCTCTTGCTGATTGTTAGTCTAGAAATAATTTGGCTATCACATGACTTCCATTAGTGACTAAATCCTCCTCAAATGAATAATGCAAAAGGAGGGCAGTCACACCTCACTGCTGACACACACTGTGCTTCCCAGATGAAGGATGTTTGACTAACATGAAGGAACCTTGCCGCTCTGTGACAGCCTCTTGATGAAGAAATGGAACCAGCTTTGTTGTTATGCTGGTTTGATAATGTAGTCTGTAATTATATTTGTACTAAGGTTTGATGTTGTTCTCTATCAGGCTAAAGCAGATCTACATGAGAAAGAACAAGATCTGCAGGACTTGAGTGTCTTACTAGGTTGTGTAAAAACAGAGAGAGACCAGGCACTGCAGGTGAGAATATCCTCCCCCTTAACACTTTCATGATGAATAATAGAACATTACTCACACATTATCCAAAGCAAAAACCCCCCAGGGCTGGCCAGATGAACACATCAGTCTACTGATCATGAATCCTTAATCTGGCGTTTAACACGGGCACATCACCTGATCAAGACCCCAATCCATTTGGTAGAAGAAGAAGTATGCATGTTTTGAAAGTTATGGCATCCTCACAACAGCAGGAAGTGCTCCTGGGTATGTTGTCTTGGCTAAATAAGAAAAATACAAAAAAAGAAAATATCATGGTCGACCAATTTACAGAGAAGCGGCTAGAGGCAGCGGCCACAAAGCATGACCTGCTTCATAGAGATAAAGATGGGATTGCTGATTACCAATGCATATGTTTACTTGTCATGAGCTAATCAGCCTGTTATAACTGTTTCACCCTATTATGTTTACTTGTCATGAGCTAATCAGCCTGTTATAACTGTTTCATCATATTATGTTTACTTGTCATGAGCTAATCAGCCTGTTATAACTGTTTCATCATATCTTTCATTTACATAAAGACTGACCTCAGTTTTGGATCATTTTAAAATAAAACACTGGTTGATTTCAGGGTTTTGTTTTGGATATTCTCCTCAAGTGTTTTTGGACTAGACTATAGTGGTTCCAAAGCTATATCATATTCTTTGGCAGATTTCCTAAAAATGATCAGGAGTAAGTCCTTCCACTCCATGACCTTCCCTCTTATACTATCCTCAGGCCTGAGTGCCACCTCTGCAGTCTGCTTCACCGTAAGATGAGACAGAATCCAGCCACTGTGACATTGCCAACAGAGCCAGGCCCGAGTTCCCTGGGGTCCCAATCTACATTCTGCTAAAGGGCCCCCCGACCTGACCCATGAGCCATGTCAACCATTTGCCATTGCACCAGAGTCACACCTGACACCCTGATGCCCCCACTACAATGCTCCCTATTTAAAACGGCTTGCCCCAGTTGTTGGTATAAAAAGAGTAATAAGAGGGATAAATAAAGAATTACAGAAGATCATATTTTCTTTAGAATTCATCGGTGAGTGACCTTAACATTTAAGAAAATAAGTAGCCTATAAATGAAGATTACTCTCACTTTTGTCAGGCACAAAGTCAAAGAACATAGTCCTGACTGGCTATTTGACATGGAGGTGAAGCGGGGCCCTTTTGTTATTTGCTCATCTATCCTGCTACTTCAATACCAAAGAGTGGTTCCCGGGACACACTTAAAAACAACAAACAGCACATTCTATGTCCTCTGTAGGTTTACTTTTCATGAAACCTTCCTTCAGCCGTTGCAGAATGCCTTCCCTCAAGGAGCAATAACAGCTTTCGTACAAAAAACCTTTCTAAAACCACAAACAAATGCGGCACATCAAAACGGTTTATTATTGCAGTATTTCTCGCTGCTTCCATGAAACTAGTACTGGGGAGCACATGCTGTAGCTCTCTGGATAATGGCAGTTACTTTAAGAGGATTTGACCTATTGCCATCAACACGAGGGTCAAATAGGATCCCATACACCTATAGTCGTGCAGCGTGACATGTTTTTGTAGGCCTAACCTGGAAATTAGCATGGCAAGGGCTGCATTGATCAAAAGCAATGGGATCTTTTCATTGGATTTTGGAATATTGCGTTAAATGATATCTGAGGCAAACAAACGTTAATGAAATGTACATGTTTTGTTCAGCAGGATAATCTCCACATACTGTAGTAACACCACTTGTATGATAGTTTAAGCGTAATTGCACTATTCAGAAGTAAAAAGCTAACATTAGGCTATAAACAAACTACATCATGGTCGCATGACTTCACAACACCCCCGCTAAACTCAGACCCGGCAGTATACCTAAATCTTTACATTGTTTATTTTGACTAGACCTTCACTTTTTCTGATGAGCTGTAAGGTTACGACTTTATCACATTCCCACACATTATGTTTATTTTCTTCACTTCGGCTTAAATTCAAAATATGTTACAATACACTTTCTCTTAATGTACATCAATTGCCTAGACATAATGGCAAAAGTCCTGGATAGCGCCGGGTCTGGTTAAGCTATACAGGACTGTCTCAGAAAATTAGAATATTGTGATAAAGTTCTTTATTTTCTGTAATGCAATTAAAAAAACAAAAATCTCATACATTCTGGATTCATTACAAATCAACTGAAATATTGCAAGCCTTTTATTATTTTAATATTGCTGATTATGGCATACAGCTTAAGAAAACTCAAATATCCTATCTCTAAATATTAGAATATCATGAAAAAGTATACTAGTAGGGTGTTCAACGAATCACTTGAATCGTCTAATTAACTCGAAACACCTGCAAGGGTTTCCTGAGCCTTGAAAAACACTCAGCTTGGTTCAGTAAACTAAATCACAAGTATGGGGAAGACTGCTGATCTGACTGCTGTCCAGAGGACCGTCATTGACACCCTCCATCAGGAGGGTAAGACACAAAAAGAAATTTCTCAAAGAGCAAGCTGTTCACAGAGTGCAGTTTCAAAGCACATCCACAAAAAGTCTGTTGGAANCAGCTCCATCTTTCGTAACTCCTTTATAGTGTGAAAGGAGATCACAACAGTAATAATGCTTTCATTATTTGAACGCTTAGCAACAATGCCTTTATAAAGAGCTCTAAACATTCTCTTAATTGTATTTGATAGATGGTGAGCCTGAGTGTGACGGTGCTGGCAAGTGCTGGTCAGGTCCTCGGCTCCGCCTGACAAGATAGGGGAGTTAGCGAGAGCGCCGAAAGTGCTTATGCTAGAATAGCAGTGGTTAAGAATAGTCCGGGTGCAAAGAATATGTGGGGGTGTAGACATCATAGCGCTAAGTGGCATTAATTGTTCAAGTGCTGACTGCGTTTAGTTGGGTTTGTATGTGTGCATTTCTGTTCAGTTATATGTTTGTGTTTGAAAAGTGTTCCCCCTCCCGTTATGTCTGTTGCTGGATTGTGTGCACCTGGTGCCCTGTGTTGTCTCCTCCCCCTTCACCTGTGTCTAATTGCTGATTAGTGTGTGTGGGTATTTAGGCTCTGTTTCCCTGTCTGTTAGGGGCNCACAGTACCGTTTGGCATGGCATATTTGCACATTTTATACTGATTATTGAGATAGTATTTATTAAAGGATTGAACCGTGTTGATTGAAATGTCGTCTGGGCCAGACGACATTTCAATCAACACGGTTCAATCCTTTAATAAATACTATCTCAATAATCAGTATAAAATGTGCAAATATGCCATGCCAAACGGTACTGTGCAATCACGCTAATAAAGTGCAAAACTCTTCACTAAAGTGCTGAGTTACAAGGCCCGAAGCCGTCAGTCCACAGTGATGAAGTTACCTTCGTCACACCCCGCATCGTGCTGTATGCTTTCACACATTCTGCTGCCACATTGGGAAAGAGCAGCGAAAAATGCTCGTTGTGTGGAAAAAATATTGAAGAGAAGGCTCAGTAACACATTACTCTAAGGATCGAGTTCAGACATAGGCTATAGGCGGTCTTGAACACTATCATCAGAGTAACGCGATCTAATCAATAAATAAAGATTCAGCCGATAACACAAAAGCACATGGCTACTTAACATGCAGAATGTCGTCATGTTGCATGCTAAGTAGCCATGTGCTTTCTGGGAATAAACTTTATCAGTAAACCTTTTTAACCGGTAAAAGTTCCTTCAAAATAAGAGTCCCGATCTTATTACTATCAAAATAAAAGTGCGAAACGAAAACTTTACCATAGGAAAATATATGCATACAAATATAATCACTTCTCTAAAAGGTAACTCATTTTAAATATAGTTTATTTATATGTAATAATAATATTAATATTAGTAATAAGCTTTATATTTGTATAGCACCTATTACAAGAATTGTAGCCAAACTGGCTTCACAGCAGTTCAATAGACAGATTAGTATAACATGACAGGATAAAAGCAATGTAGAGGAGCAGCTACATTTTAACATATATATCCACGAAGGTTAATATCTCGGACTTGAGTTGGACTCTTCTCCGGTGACTCAGACTTGGACTCGGACTCGAACACAGGTAATGATGAATCTGACTCGACTCGGACACTCCTTGGGTGACTCGGACTTGGACTCGGACTCGAACACAGGTAATGATGACTCGGACTCGACTCGGACACTCCTTGGGTGACTCGGACTTGGACTCGGACTCGAAGAGTGGTGACTCGAGAGTGATTTGGACTCGTGAATTGGTGACTTGACTACAACACTGCCCTAATGTGACCTCTATTCAACATAAACATTCAAACACCAACGTTTTTCCTTAAAAGAAAAATAAAGGAACACATATTTATATTAAAAGTTTAAATCAGAATCAGAAACGGGTTTATTGCCAGGTAGGTTCACACGTACGAGGAATGTTACTAGGTGTCACGGTGCATACATAAAAATAAAAAACAACAACAACCTGCTTGTGTCTTAATGTGTTGAATATATATTTAAATTATTCTAGAAAATTATCAATTAATTCAATTAAATAAATGCCACTGTACCCATGCACGCAGTATGAGCAGGCCACATTACATTTTTTTGATAATGTAACGTTTCTTTCAAAGTTTTTTTTATGATAATAAAACGTTTCTTTCAAAGTGAAAAGTGGTGGGAGAGATGACAGGGCTGATATGAAGGAAAGGACAGTCGTCAAGGACATCTGTAAACAATCTGTCCCAGAATTTTTGAAAGATCTTAGGGTCAGGTATAAACTATATTTACCTTCCCGCACTCCCAGGAAATGGCTGCCGCTCACCCTGTAATGTAATTACAGTTGTTTGCCTGCCGTTGTATCTGTGCATGTCTGTTTGTCACTGGCTCTTTTTTCCATCCAAACTAACGCCAAATTTCCTCTGCTTAATGGTGATTGAAATATGGGTGCTGCCTGTCTCGGAAACCACTTAATGTCAACATGTCAGAGGTATCAGGGGGGAACTAAGTCCAAAACTACTGGACTGTCAAATCATAAACGCCATGGGGAACAGATTTCTCAGGGATCTGCAGGCGATGAAAAGAATCAGCAGAGGTTTTGACAGGGATTTAATTTGGCATCGCTCATGTCTCCAAATTAATCCCACCACAAAATTATGGTTTCCTTTCATCCCCAAAGTCCCATTTCCATGGCTATAG